CTTTGTTTGTTTGAAAATCTGCTTTCAGATTGGAAAGTCTCAGCTCTTTAATTTCCTAACTTTCTCCCCTCTCCCACCACCTGGGTTTCTAAAATTGGCAAATTTTGATAATCTGTGTGCTTTCAGATGTTTAAATTCCTAGGAAAAAGGAGGGTCCCTATACAGAAATCACTGAGATCACCTAGTTCAGCCAAAATTCTGGGCTATTGATTGATCGTGTCATCTGTTTTTCTGCACAGAAACCAGAGGAATTGATGAGATCATGTGTAAATCAAATAATTGATGCTTAAAAGTGGCAGAAGGTGGCCTACAAATAAATTTCTTATGACAGAAATCCTACAGTGTCAGTGAGCTTGTATTTTGGAGCAGGGGCTTTTCAACAGTTTGCTGCTGAACTGAGTATTCAGACAGTTCATGCCTATCTAAGGCTTTACTAGTTCTGAATTTTTGAAGCCACTGCTGAAGTGTGTGCCCATTTATGAGTAAAAGTTGTATTTTCAGATGAAGAAAACTTCCTAGAATGACTTGTTAGAAGGAAGATACAGTTACGGTTGGTGGTCTGTGGACTGCATTTGTCCCAAAGGACACTGGAGGTTTTTTCAGATGTGGGGATCAGGGCTACCAATACATAACTCAGCATTCAAACAGATGTTGGTACTGCTAGTGCTTGACACACAATAGGAAACTTTTAGATGAAGTCCCTATGATTAATGAAAATAGAACTGTTTGCTATAATAAAAAAGTTCCAAATTGTGAAATGGATGTGGAGTAAAAAAGAGTTACAAGCAGACTGAAATGAAAACTCTAAGTGATCTCTTATAACGGAAGTAATTTGAGGGTTGGTTTGTCTCACAGGTGAAGAACAAACCTTTCATTGACATCTGCAAGAAGTGACATGTTGTTTGGAAGATCCAGAGTCCGTCACTGAGGGAGCTACATTTGATGTAGGTCTTCAAGATTTTTGAAGGTACTTGGGTGCCTGCAGATGGAAGTACGACCCTGTGAAACCTATGAAAATGCCTGTTTCTTCCTGTAATTGCCTGAATGCTTTAAGAGACAAACCTTTAATTTGTAATGCCTGAAATGGCAATATGATTAAAGTGAAAATAAATAATTTTGCATATTGGTGTGGCAGAATTTTGTCATTGAATTGTTTGTGTTATGTAGCCAGATATGCTACCTGACCATAAATTCTAAATAAATACTTGACTTGGACTTTTTGATTGCTCCTAACTCCCTTCCTCAAGTAAAGATGGAACAAGTAGTGGCTGTGTCAATTCTCAGATGTCTTAGGGTATCTACTCCTCTAGTAGTAGAGAGGGGTTTTTTTAGGCTTTTTTTTTTTTGACAAAACTTGACTTGTTTCTTCTTAATTTGAAATCTTCATCTTGACACAAGATATTCTTTAATATCTTGTGGATACCCATACCTTTTTTCAAGGTATGAAGTCTCTTATTAGTAGTAATTTCACTAACAAGGGACATTTTCTCTCATCCTGCATCAGAACAGGAGACCTGCATATGCATTGTATTTCTTAAAGTTCTTTGTAAATAATTATCCAGTGTCCTTGACTTTGAAAAGTGAAAGTCAAGGAAAAACTGAGGAACAAGACAGATTTTAATCCTATGTCTTATATGGGCAAATGGGTGTACCAATGTAGAGTTAATTCTCTCTTTTTCCCTTCAATGAATCTGGTATCCAATACTGAAGTGGAAAGCAGGAGTTCAAGTACTTCCTGAAAACATCCATCAGTTGACAGGCATCAATAACAAATATTTTGTATGAATATAATTAATTTATAAATGTCTATTTAGACCCATAATAATATCATTCGGGTACTGCAGGCAATTTTTTACCCTCTGTCACAAATGATAACGAAAGCTAAATGAGGGTGTGTTAAATGGCAATTGCAGTAATGCAAAAACTGTCAAGTTGCACTGGATTGGCACTGGCTTTCTTTTCCTGAATGATGCAAATAAATCTGTTTGTTGGTTAGTTTTTAATCACTGGGAGTTTCTTAGAGTGAGTCATATGGACCTATTTTCCCAATATGTTGGGGAAACATATTTTCAGACAGTTTCTGTGTGTAGCTCTCAAAACTCCTAAGTGAAACTTCTCAACCTTCTTGTGTATGATTCATCAAAGTGTTTTTTTACTAGTATATATACAAAGGTGAGTAACTCTTATGAGGATATAGGACCTGCTACAACTTTTTTCACCCTTCCAGCACCTAATTGACATGAAGTTCTAAAGCAGGTGATTGTAAGAATGATTTTAATACATTTTTCACAGTGAAAAGAAAAAATGTCACAAACCTTAGTGTAGTATGTAATTTTTAGGATTTTTCCCTGATTCCGTGTCATATGTCACTATTTCCTTTGTTGGTAGGTCAGTAGTGATAAAAAAACGCCATGCTATACAGTAGCTTAATATCTTGGCATAGTAAAAATAGCAGCCAGTTGTTCAGAAGTATGTGTAGATTTACTTTGATTAAGACAACAAACCTTTAAACTTATACTGATGTCATTTGTGAGGATAATTTCAGTGCCCTTTTACAAATGGACAGATCTGTAGGATCTGGATCATGTCAATAAAGGAAAGCCTTGGACTTTGGTGTTAAAAGCATTCACTTTCACTGAGTTACTGTGAGAGACATAACGGTGAAATTTTTCTGAAATATGGGCACATAAATTCAGATGTGCATGTATCCCTCTCTGACATCTACATTGGTGTGGAGAACCAAGACCTCATGAACTTTATTGGCAAAGGGCTTGATTCAGTTGCTTAAAGGTAGGCATCTGGTGTCATCTGAGAGTCACCTGGAATTCCAGCCCACATGCTGCATGGGCCTGGCATGAATGACAGACAAACTATGGGTAACACGTGTCATCCTCAGCTGGGAGCTGGAGACCAGCTGGGCTCCTCTACTGTAACTCACGTGCACTACGTTTGCCTTTGTTCAGACAAATAACTCACCTCAGAACTCTACTGATAAAATAGGAATCTATTGAGCTTAGACCTTGTGATTTCTGGAACACAGGACCTTACTGCAATGAAGACTGTTTGTAGTTGGAGTTCCCCTTTTCAGTTACATATGATAACTTTTTGCTGAGAAGAAATAAAACTAAACAAGATGGTATTTTATTGAACATGGCATTTAAGTTTCTTTTCAGGTATTGTTTGTAACCTTAGACTGCTAAATGGATGGAGAGAGTGCTCATGTAGCATGGAGAGTTTGTCAGCCTGCTGTGGAGGTGTGAGGTTACAGTGGTTGCTTGCCCATTCTTGGGTTGGAGTGCACACCTCAGATGCAGGAGACAACACCATGACTTGCTAGGGAATCAAGTATTGCTACTTCCAGGTCTTACAGCATCACAGAATATCCTCAGCTAGAAGGGACTCAACAGGATCATTGAGTCCAGCTCCTGGCCCTTAGACTCAGTACACTTAGACTCAAACCATGTGCCTGTGAGCATTGTCCAAATGCTGCTTGAACTCTGTCAGGCTTGGTGCTGTGACCGCTGCCCTGGTCCAGTGTTCCTCCACCCTCTGGACAAAGGACCTTTTCTTACTGCTGAACCTCAGTTTCCCCTCATACAACTTGATGCCATTTCCTTGGGTCCTGTCACAGGTCACCAGAGAGAAGGGATCAGTGCCTGCTTCTCTTCCCCTCATGAGGGAGTTGCAGACTGCAATGAGGTCTCCCCTCAGTCTCCTCCAGGCTGAACCAAGCGACCTCAGCCACTCCTTGTATGGCTACGCCTGTAGGCCCTTCATGATCCTCATGGCCCTCCTTTGGGCACTCTTAAATAGCTTTACATGGCCCTCCTTTGGATATTCTTAAATAGCTTTATATCTCTTGTATATTTTGTGCCCAAAACTGCCCCCAGCACTCGAGGTGAGGCTGCCCCAGCTCAGAGCAGAGCAGGACAATCCCCTCCCTTGCCCTGCTGGCAATGCTGTGCCTGATGCCCCCCAGGACAGGGTTGTTCCTCCTGGCTGCCAGGGCACTGCTGACTCACATTCAATCAACCAGGACCCCCAGACCCCTGGATGTGAGGGCAGTCTGGCTCCACCCCTGTCACCCACTGATGACCAGGTTGATTGAGCTGACCCAGCTGGTCCAGGGGGTGTCCACTTCCCCCTCAATGCTCCATGTGGATCCCTACCAAAGCTGCACCCTGGTTGAAGAGGGTGATCTTCCCCATGGAGATGGTGCTGTTCATCGGTCAAGGGTATACAGCAGCCCTGCCCCCTGCTAGAACCAGCCTCCAAACAAGCTCAAGGTTTATGGCTATTTATGTTGTAACTGCAGTTTCTCTAATGATTTTGCAGTGACCTGCCAGAGATCCAAAGAAAATATTTCCTGAGTGGTCAGAACATAGAGGTTGTGCAGTGTTCAGTCTGGGGGCCTACAGTGATGAGAGATAGGCAGATGTTTCCTCTTGGGAGGGTAAGGGCTAAGAGTTATGAGAAGGTAGTGCTGCCTTGTCTTGCTGTGAGCAGAAAATATCCTGGGGGGAAGTTCTTTATTAGCACAAAGAGTTTTCCCTATGTTTATTCTTTTCATTAATGACTTACAGCTTCTCTGCAGACATGTATGAACATGTGTGTTCAGGTTCATACTTCTTTCTTTTGTAAAAGGAGAACACAGCAGCATTAAGTAATGGCTGTTTATTAATGCCGTAGTAAAACTTTTCACAAATATTTAGTCATGCATTCAAGACACACTTTTCTGTGGCAGTTTGGACTGTCACAGAAATAAATAGTTTATCATAGTTGTCTTATTTCAGTTTTTAGAATGCATCATTTCACTGAACTAGTCACAAGAAGAAAACTGTGCATAGTAAATGCACAGTTTTCCAGATCTTAGAATGGATAAAGTGGGAAAGATCTCATCCATAATAACAAACTTTATCACATCATAATTTCACACTGCAATATGAATGTTAGTGTAATGAAAGGCAATACAACATTAACATTACTTGGAACCACAGCTTCTAGTTGTTATTGAGGACACACCACGATGTTGAAAGAGAACAGAGTTTATTTATTTTTTAGCATAAATTGCCTTTCTTTTTTGACCTCTGGTAAAAATTCTAAATAAAATACCCATAATATATATATTTAAATGGTTGTTTATATATGCAGCTAATACTGGTGAGAAAAAATACGCAGGATACTGGGAGAGCTGAGTCTAAGTGGTGGGAAGGCTTTATCACAATAATTGCATCCTTTTTTGATAACATCCAAAGAAACATTTATGTGTCATAGGTGCAGCTGCATAGAATTGAGCACCCTGAGAGCAAATCAAATAAATCCTCAGTCTTGTGCGGCTGTGTGTGTCAGTTTTTAACCCAAGCTCTGTGTTCCCTGGGTGGTTGCATTAGCTTTAATGCTTTCCTAGTGACATTATTCAAATCTGATGGGTTTTTTATACAACTCTAGGAATTAATAATTTTCTGTCCTCAAAAGTAGGAGAATTGATGGGCTTGCAAAATGTCATTCCCATAAAAAGTTCTGTAATCACCAGATTATAGGCAGTGCTGGGGTGAAACCAATTTGTATTTCTTCCCCACAATCTCTAGCCTTTGGCCTTTTGAAATGGAACCTTATGCAGAAAGGAACCACAAGATTTATGGAGAGAGATGGGAAGGAAGGAAAGGAATGGGGACTGTATGTGAGATGCCAAGTGCCCTTAGTAAAGGAGTGTACTATGCTATGTAGGGGTCACACTACACGAATTCATTAGCAGAACTTATTTCTTATGTATGTATCCACAAATGCTTCCATTAATGGTATTTTAATGAAAATTATTATTCATGAAGAAACATGATGAGAAAATACTCAAGAGTCCCACCTGAATTCAGGCTATGAGCCTAATAGTCTTTGAAACATCAATGGATGTTTCAATCCCCAAAAATGCCAATTTAATGATTTATTTCATGGGTTATAGTGTTATAAGTGTTCAGTGGTTTCCCTTTATCTTGTTTTCTTCACCCAAATGTTCTCTAGAGTCCTTAAGTCCAGATCTTGTATAAAAATGAGACATTCACTGAATATGAACTGAATGATTCATGCCACCTTGGTAGATTGCCTGAAAAACTGGGTGAGTTAACAGGTGTATGAGTGGTTATAATAGCTTGTGGTTCCTCTTAACTGATGATAAATTAATTTTCTTTGGGATAATACTGGATCAAACAGTCTTGAAAACTTGTCTTCCTGAATCATTCTTGACCCCATAAGTGCATCCTTACTAATTTTAGTTAATTGGTAAAGTCTTACAGGTTGTAAACTTTGAATGAATCAGATTCAGGTTACAGTTCGCAATTGATTCAGTTCTTATCTACCCAGATGTGTAAAAGAAGTTTGGAAGTTTCTCAGCTAGGGTAAATTTGTTTTAGAATAGAGCCTATCTGTGTTCTAACTGCAGACAGGTTTAGGGTTTTTTTCCTTCTGATTTTATAATGAAATCACTTTATGTGATAAAATATGTCTAAAATTCTTTTGTAAAGTGTACTGGTGGGATTGCAGCCATCATTTTTTTTACTTCAAGATCATTTTCTGTCTTTCAAACACAAATACAATTTGTATAGATAAATTGCAGGAAGCTCTTTCCATGAAACAGAGTTCAAATCATCGCACAGATTTCTAAATTACAGGTAATGTCTAATATTGTACAAAGAACTGTGAATGCATTAATTCCCATTGCCCCTGCCCCAGCAAGGAGTGCACAGTGAGAAATGCTGTTTCTATGGTAACTGTCTGCCAGGACAGAGTGCTGCAGACTGAAATCCTTCTTAGCAGGCAGAGTAAATGCTGTAATGACTACTTGGAATCCAATTTCAGACACTTCCATATTTAGGCACTTAAAAATTATGTTTACATTTTATTTTATGTAAATTGCACTTTACTCATATGTAAACTACCCTGGAACACTGCTGGATCATGTGCAGTCTCTTGGACAGAAAGAATTTTGGAAAAAGGCTCCATTGTTTCCAAATCAAGTTTCTCTTAAATCCAGCAGCATCCCAGTAGATACAAGATTTTACAGAGATTCTTGGTTCATTAACTAAAATCTCTGAATTCTGCAGGAGTCCCTGGCATATAATTTTGTGTCCACATCAGGCTCATGAGATCTGAAGATGTGTTGGCTGGTTTATTTTAAGAACAAACCCTAGGTACAAGACTACATTTACTTTTGTACTAAGTGGGGTTTTATTATTTTAAATTTAGTCTGTACTCAGACACATAGGAAATTAGGGCTTCAGTGTAATAGACTGTGTTCCCTAAAATAAAAAAAATAAATTAATGTCCTCTCTCTGATGCTTTCTTTGCTTCATCCTGCACCTGCACTGTATCTTTTAACTCTTATTTCTAGGAGAAAGATGTTACATGCTCAATGGTTTGTATGAAGAATAAAAATTTGGAATCTTTACCAGCCTGTTTTTTATTTTTTTAACATAGCAGGAAGTGTGTACAACAAGTTGGTTAGTGAATATCAATTACTGGTAAATAAGGCTCCCTTCAGTCAATGTAAGTAGGAATAAATTGAAGTCCTAATCAGAAAGCATTTTTTTCCTTGAAAATCTTAAATGGGATCTATTTTACCATTCACAAATAGCAATGTTTATTCTAAATATTTTCTTAAATAGTGGATGTTGGTGTACCTTCACACTATGTAAAATAAAGCACTGTGGGTCTTCTCCTTGCTGATGCATTTTATGTTTATGTGGTTAAAATAGAAATATTTGAAGTCCTTTTCTCCTCTACACTTTACCAAAGAAGATCTGAATAAGGGTGATATTATGCAGTGGTCTTGCAGATGCAACACACTAATACAACCATTCACATATTAAAAAAAAAAAAAAAAGAAGAAGTGAAAAGTTGATATTTACCAGGGACTAGCATTGTTGTGATGAGCTCTGGACTTTCCAAGAAATCCACATTACTTCTCTGGAATGTCTTGCTGTAATTCATTTGAAGGCGGCTAAATAATTGTAAAAAATAAAAATGTGACATGTTTTTTAAAGGGGCTCAATTTTTTAAATGAGCATAAGAAATTTCACAATTAATGCTGTACAGAGATTCTGTGCTTAAAAACTTACAGTGATAGTGGGAGAGGAGATCAGATAAGCTATGAAGGGCCTGCAGATATATGAAACCCAGGTTTTCTTCTGTGCAGCTCGCTGTCAGTCTGATGCTCATCTCCTGTACTGTGACCCAGTACAGTGTTGACATGTGTTACCAGTGTTCCTGGGTCTTTGTGATAGGAAACCCAGTAAAACTGGGGTTTTGTTTGACAGGAAAGCAACAAAGCTGCAAGAGACTTCTCCATCTCCCTAAGAACGGGCTCTCTCTACAGATTTAGGATCACAAGGTTGGTGTATTTGAGTGCTGTAACTTAAGTAAGGACAATCCTTTTGTCATCTGCCTGCCAGAAGCTAGAATTCAGCTGGTAGGATGTTTAATAATTTCTATTTTGGGCCCAAAAGAGACACTCTGGAAGTCTGTTGGATGGGTTCCTGTGATGTGGATTAGGAAGTTTTGGGAGAGTTCCCCATAACTACTGATGTGTGCTGCAGGCTGGCACATCATCTGTTTCAATAATTGTGTCTTTTTGTTTCTTCTTCCTTATCATGAAACTGGTGCTATTGCAGTCTTCCTGGTTTTCTGTCTCTGATGAACTACCATCCACCTGATGCTATATACTTATGTACTCACTTTCAGACTCTTTCTGCTATAAATAATCACCGTTGTCTTTCTGGGATTTTTATTTATGTTTCAGTATATTCAAGTCTTTAGCAACCAAAGTATTGTTCTGAAATATTAATTGTGATGTATTTCGCAAAAGATCAGTTAGCAGTATTTAAAGTAATTTGTACTCGGTCTTTCCACACAATTGATTTCTAACCTTCAAAATTTATGTATTACCAAAAAAAAAAAAAAATGAAAGCCACCGAAGTCCTGACACTTACCTATTCCAGGCATTGCTGTTTTCCCAGAACTCATAAAAAATGAAGTGGAAATTACTCGGAATCTTCTGTATGGAAACACTAAGAATTTCACAATAGAACTAATTTATTGAAACAAAACAAAATTATTGGACATATACATTTTATTCCTAACTGCTTATCAGTAGGAACAAATGCAGTGATTTTTAAAAAAAACCCACAGAAAATCAAACCCAATACCAACCCAATTAATAAACTTAACAAATGATTGATCATAGTGATCACATACTTCAAATTATCTGAGCTTTTAAAAATAAAAACCCTTGTATGTTTATTTTTATTATGTAATATTTTTATGAAAATAATTTTTCATATTGCTCCAATAGTGTAATTTATCTAAACAAATGCTAAACAGAAAATTAATCAAACAGCTGCTCAGGGAAGATAATCTAATAAGTAGAAGTTATCCTTTTGTATGAGAGATGCATCCAAGTGTCATAGAATTTAAGTGCTTTGAAAGCAAATGGAGTAAATAAAATAATGCACACATTATGGAGTAAAAAGCCATATAGGCTGACATCTGCTGCAGATACACTTTTAAAATAATATTTTGCCTTCTAGTTACTTGTTCTTAAGTTATTCAAGTAACAGTTTCTCAGGAGTGAAAAATGACCCACAGGATATCTGTTGATCTTCTACACAAAATCATCCTGCTTATTGTCCTGAGCATAAAAGCTTTATAGTGTGTAGGGTATTTATTCACTTGGGTAATCAAACTGATGTTTAGATAAACAGCAGAGAAAATATATATACAGATTTTTCCATGTGCCCAAGTGTGAGATTGCTGACCTCACTAATGATGTGCTTGAAAACTGGTCTCAGCTTTTGCTTCATATTGTAGTCAGCAGTGTTTTGTGATTTATTGTTTATTCCTGCTCCATGTGAAAGTGCATGGTAAAATGGCCAAAATATCAAAAGCTGTAGGAAAAAACAAGTCCCTGTCAATTAGAGCTACAGCAAAACCCATCCATTAGGTGGCATTACAGACTTAACAAATGCCTGTACAGTTGGGAAAGAAAGGAACTTTCTGCCACCATTTGCTAACTTGCGTTCTGAAGTCATGTCACCTGTCTTCCCCAACAAGCCTGCAGTCACTACAGTGTTTGGTGGATGTTCATTTCTGGGAGGAGGCTGGGAGAACTTCTTATTGGGCTTTTTTTCCATCTCTTGGCCAACTAGAGAATTTTATTTTCCTCATCAGTCTGCCTTTACAAGTGAACCACTGCAGAAAGATCACTCTTCCAGCTTAATTTTTCTGGTCTATGTGAACACTATTGATAAAATCCTAATTGTGATAACCTCATAGCAACAAGACTCATAAATTAGGCAGTATTTGAAGCCCTTGACTAGATGGGAAGATTCTGTGTCGTGTACACACTACCAAAATATCTTTTTCATAATGTATGATAGTAGATCTCTCTAGTACATTAAATTCAAAAATTAAGTACACTGATAAGCCACTAAAATTTATTCTTAATCCAGCTCTAATGTTTTATTAATTCTAAAAGGAGCAAAGCAGAAACACAGTTTCATTGAAAATTTTGCTTTTAAATTTTTCCAATTATTTATTATGAATTAAAATTTAACAATGACAGCCTAAAGGGAAGATTCTGAAAACTTCCAAGCAAATAACTGGTGAACAATTGATAAGTTGCTCCTTCTCCAGGTAAACATAAGTGAAGGATGGCAAATGAGTTTTCCAATAAAGAATGTCAGCCTAGAAGCTTCCAGAAGTCATGAATTGATGACCTGCAGAGCTAACAAGCCTGAAAAGACTGTTTAGCATCTTTGGGATGTACAGTCATTTTGTGACAGTACCTAAAATCTGCACATTCTCATATCTCTTTCTAGTTCTAGGTGTTCTTTAGGAAGCTTTGTCGTACATACACACATAACCCACCAAGAAAGGTATCAGAGGTTCTCTCTTCATGAATATTCCAAGTTGCTAAAGAAAAAAGACTACATTTCTTCCTTCAGCCCAAGGACAATAACCCTGTACTTACTGCAAGCAGCCTCCTTGAGCAGAAGCAGATTCCAGGTACTGCTTCAGGGCACGATGGAATTCTTCCTCTTTTTCTTCTTTCACAGACATTTGGTGCTGAACAATCATTATCTGCTGATACAAAACCATGACAATATTGCTGCCACAGCTTCCTCTGAATTCCTTGTACTTTAAACATAGAAAAGTCCATCATGAAACAATAAAACCCCAATCATAGAAGAAAACCCACAAAAGTTCCCTTGAAGTTTGCAGTCCCTGTTTTAGTGATCTGGAGTGGAGAAGTAGAAATGCTCAAGCATGGCTTTTGTGCCTGGACATGAGTGTCCCCTTTAGCCTGTTGTCCTAACTCTGTGCTTTGCCCTCTTCTGAGTCTTTTCAGAAGAGGGCAAAGCACAGGGTGGACTTTGAGATGCTCAGTAATAAAGTCAGTGTGTTTCCTTGGATGAAGCTGTATGCCAGCAGTGAGGTTTGGGGTAAGAGAATATCCCCACAACCTGCACTGGATGCATTGTTGCTTTTGTAAAGGTGCTTTCAGAGTTTTTACCTTTTAGAGCCTTGCCCCTCACCTGACTGAGAGGCCTAAGATAGCCCACATTAAGTGATGAAGAGAGAGGGGGTCTTCCCTCCATAACCCAGCAGGAAAATGAACAGTCTTTATAAACAGGACTATGGAAGCAGTCAGCAGTGCAGAAGACCTATCTATCCTGAATTAAAATAATCATCATTTAGCTCTTTCAAGTTGTTTATTTACTGATTAACCTATTGAAGCTTGTCAACTTTACTAATGGAACATTTAAAGCAACACTATGTGCTTCTTAATCACGACATGCAGGTTTTTGACTTGTTTCTGCCTTGATTATGAATACTGTTAAATCATGGATTATAAGCAGTTTGTGTAGCAATACTGCATAATCTCATTTAAAAAAAATCTAATGCAACTCCTGTGATTAAATGATTTTTTCATGTATATTTGATTTGCATTTTCTTAGGTTCAAGTGAATGAATGTTAGGTTTATGAATTTAGGAATGCTAGTATATCAATCTTGGGACATAAGCTTGTTTAACAGTAAGTTTATTTCTGGTCACAATTTTGGTTTTGTAGATTGTAATGAGCACAAGATACTCTTCCATTTTACCTCATAAGATTTCCTATGGCAGTTTTGGGAGGGAGGGAGGCTGTACAACAATGGTTAAAGCATGCATCCAGCATTTGGAGCAGAGAAGCTACCACCCCATAAACACTGCTGCTAAATTTGATAAATCTTATTAATTTTTCTCCTTATGTGTGTTAAGGTTTTGGCTCACTCTGTCCTTTAAAAACAATGCAAAAAGTTAATATAAAAGTTTAACTCACATATTCTAAATTTTGTTGTTGCCTTTTGCACAGTGTATTCTGCTAACTAAAATGGATTCTTATCACTGGAAAAAGCGAGGATAAAGATTTTTAAAATTATTTTTAACAAAAGAGACCTGGTGTGGTCTCAATGCCTGGTGCTTAAAATAAAATGTCAAAATCATTATCTTGAACAGTACTTACAGATCTTGCATTTTCTTCCAAAACTTCCTCTTCAAGTGGCTCAAGCTTGAGGTCCTTTGAGGCAATTGAAAAGAAAATAGAAATTGTAAGAAGAGTCAATAATATAGATGTATTCTGTTCTTACATTTTTTACAAACAATTCCAATAACTAGATTCTGTTCTATGCCAAGAAGTTAAATCCCTTCTTTATTAGTTCTAAGTCAAACACAAGTTTTACATGATCCTGCATGCCTCAGTGGTTAATTCCAGCCCAGGCTGTATTGTAAAGTTTTATTTATAGTGCTTAGCAGGTGATTTTTCATTTGAACAAATCTGCTTGTTCCCAAATGTGTGTTGGACTTAATTGAGAAAAGATAGACATCCTCTCAAATTGTTCATGGACTGTGGAGATGAGCAAGAATGGCAATTTGAAATGAACTATCAGCTACTGTTGTGCAATCATAAAACTTTACACAGAAGAAACTTCCCTGCAGGGACTCTGTGGTTGCAAGGGGCTGTTTTCTAGCATTGGAAGAGATGTGCATGATGGTCCGAGCCAGGTCTCTGAGCCTGTGCTCAGCCCTTGCTGTGACAATGGGCTGGGCAGCAGCAAAGAGATGTGTCTGTGAGTGCACCTGGTACCCAAACTGGATGTGCACTTCAGGAATCAGAGACTCACACAAACACCAACCTGTAACACACACAAAATCGTTCTTTACTTGCCAGGCACACGCAGTACCTCCTAACCCAGTGCCATTATGACATTCTGAAAAATACCCATGTGCCTGAGAAAAGAAAGCAGATTGATTTGCAATAAGCAGCTGGAGCAAAACACGCTCTGTTAGTGATGCTTCACGTCTCACTGAACACAGTTCTTGTGCAACAAAGAGAAAAATCTCCTTCCACTCCCAGCGTGGGTGAGGATTGATTAACCTCAGGTAGCAGCTGTTCTGCCAGCACCGATGCTGTACTCGCTGAAAGCCAGCAAGAGATGTGCAGGTAGAATCCAAATGAGCAGAGCACCTCCACCAGCAGCAGGTGGCAGAGCAGGGCAGGAGTGAAGTGTTCAGAAGCTGCTGTGAAGTTAAGTCATGAAATGTGTGTGGGAAGGGAAAGACAGCTGGCTTTATTGTCAGTGCAGACACTTTGGATAAAAAAAAATGAGGGAAAAAATGTGTATTCCTGAAGTGAAAGTTCACTTTCACTGCCTTTTTTTTTTTTTTTTTTGTCAGGAAACATATGGAAAAAGAGAGGAAAGGAATGACTCCAGGAAGTACTGCAAAGTTTCTCTAAATTTAGCAAGAAAATAATTGTTTTCTTTGCCGGTATATGTAAATAAAGCCTGGAAATAAAAATGGATGTAGCTCAGAGGCTTTAAAATGCCTTTTCAATCCTACCTCACCTCAGCTGAGAAGTAGTGGCTTCTGAAATTGCCTTTTAGAATGATTGTGCAATCCTTTCTTATCTTTTTCAGGGCAAAGTCAAAAAGAGGGGTTTTAGTCTGACAGGCAGCTGATATTTAATGCCTCTCCCAATCAGACATGGCTGTGAGATACAAATTCCAGTAGATGCAAAGTTGGACAAAGGTGAATATAGAGAGGTTGTCTACTGGAAAAATTAGACTTATGTCATTGCTGTAATTTATTAATCAGGTTTTATATTGACGAGGAGGCAATTATGGGAGGTTTATGCCCTGCCACTGCTTTCCTTTGACACCAAGCTCCTTTTCAGACTCAGGTTCTCTGTCATTTGTCTGTAGAAAATGTGATCATTTTATAACACCCTTGTTATAAATTTATTTACCACAAAATGTTTGGCTGCTTTCTGTAACATTTGAACTGCTTTATTGCTGAATGCCACGTTTATTTATTTTTAAAGTAACATTCTTTTAAATGGTTTTTTTTTGGCATCAGTCCATGTCAGGTGGCAATTGTGGCAGGGCAGTGAGCTGCTGTTTCCAAAGCCGAGTGGGGAGTAAAGCCAGACTTACCTTTCATGGCGGACTTTGACATTTCAAAATCCAATTTATATCTATTCAGAAAAAGATCAAGTTGCTACTAAAATGTCATTAATGTGGCAGCTGCTGTGTAATTGCCTTTCCCATGCAGAAATGGCCTCCGGGAGGAAGGGTTTGGGCAGAGGCTCGCGGGTATCCCTGGCTAGAGCAGGGAATGCTGACTGCACTGAGCACACCACGAGGAGCTGCAGAGCACAGCAAGAGCAGAGGGAGAGGCTGACAGAAGTCATGGGCAGCGCCACAAGGAATGGCCACATTTCACAGCTGGTTGAGGAGAAGTGATGCGAGAGACTGTCAGACTGCAGGGATAACCAAAGGGAATACTGGGCTCCTTTTGGAGCAAGGCCAGCAGTGCTGGGGGTGGCCACGTGCAGCTGATCAGTAATTAGGCTGGGAAAACAGAAACACCAAACTGGGACCAAAGGGGAAAGGTAATTAGGGGCATTTTATTAATTTGGGAGGGAGGAATGGCAGAGAAAGGTCAGTGTGCTTCTCTTGCTGAGGCCTGTGCCAAGTCACCACCATTTATTGGGGTTTTTTGTTAAAACCCTCACTTAACTATTTTCTGTGTGTAACTTGCTACTGAACTCAAGCTGGACTGGTGGTTGAGTAACAGGAGATGTTTTTCTGCCTTGACCCAAGGTCTGAGCCAGTGCCTGGGTAAGGGGCATGGGTCCAGCCACAAATACTAGATGACAATATTCACAGGGGAATACCCCAGTCAGCTAGAAAGAAAGAACAGGATCAAGCTGTTTATGTCCCTGTGAGTGCTGCCTGTGTGGGCTGGTGAAGAGACCCAAGCCAATGTCTTTGGAGTGCAGGCAGTCTCACTGCTGGTGAGCACTGACCTGTGGGGAGGAACAGCACCAGCTGCACTGGGACTGGAGCTACTCCTGGCTCTGAGAGCACAACTCAAAACCTCACCTCTAGTGGACAAGGAGGAAGAAACACCCTGGGTCCCAAAATCCACCGAATTGAGCCACTCCCCTAGGGCACATCTGAAATTATCTGTCTGTCCTTCAATAGGGAAATTAAATGCAGGGGAAAACTCAGGAATTTATAACCTTCCTTTTTCCTCTGCTGTTCTGTCTTCTCAAAATAAAAAAGAAAGAAAGAAATCATCACACACAAATTTTAAGACAACTTTTGAACACCAGAGTAACAATTAGCAATCAAGTCAGAATAACAATGAAGGATAGATATTTTCTGTACTGACAGATGTGGCTCAGGATTTTACAAGCACTGGGAAGCCCTGGCATTGTTGATCAGATGGGTGATTTGTCAGAGTCCTGGAGGGCTCTGCTTTGGTGTGGGAACCACCGGTGGTTTCTGGGCTCTGGGGGCAGCTGCAGCCAGCTCCCAAAAAGATTTGCATCAGACTTTGGTTGAACTGTACTGACAAGGAAAGCAGTTTAATCTTTATAAATGAAGATTCTCTGATGGGAAAGGAGGAAACAAAACTTTCTATCAAGCTTTCATGGAAAAGTTTAGAGAGGGAGAGGAAGAGGAAAATAGAGGAAAGTTGTAAAGTTGTAGCATGCTCCCCCAAACAAGCACTACTGAATACATTAACATTCTCCAGTCATAGAATAATAGAATTTTTCACATCTTTATGAAAAGTTCAATCTGTGGTGATGGGAGGGGGAAAGGGAAGCATGGGAAAACAATGTCATGAATAGGAAAGATGAAGGTGGAAGAAAAATGTAGGCATTTAATGAGTGTTAGCTCTCTTAGGTAATGTTGTGACTGGGGCATTGAAAACATTTGTGGTTTAAGGACTAATTTACTGAAAGTGAAAGAAGAAAAAGGTGACAAATCACACACACCTTCTTTTCCAGTCTATCAATTAGCTTCTGGAGTCTGTTTATCTGGATCACCCATTGGCTGTCTTCCTCAATCCAACCTTTGAAAAAGAGAAAAGATAAACATTAATAAAATGTTGCTAAGTTGCTGGTAGATAGTGTATTCCTGTCTTAAAAAAAAAATTACCCTGCAAATTTTTTGGCTTTTCAAAGATTGTGCTGCAACTAGTTCAATGTTCATTTAGGTGGAACTAAAGGAAAACATGATTTGACTCAATGGATTATTTTCTTTCTTTTTAAGATTCAATAGAAATCCAAGACAGAATGAAAACTACATTATAGATGAATGCCAGTGCTTTTGAAATAAAGCTGGTAACAGAAGAAAGTTCTCCATCTCCATTGCAGGTATATTCCTGTCTGTGTAGTGACCTGATCATAGAATCATAGAATGGTTTGTGTTGGAAGGGACTACAAAGGTCATCAAATTTCAACTCCCCTGCCACAGGCAGGGAACCTTCCACTAGATCAGATTGCTCAGGGCCCCATCCAACCCAATCTGATGTCATATAGCGAGGCTAGATCAAGACAATACTGTTCTAGACAGGCACAAGCATCTGGGCTATGAAGGTGGTGAAGGGCCTTGAGGGGAAGCAGAAAAGGAGCAGCTGAGGTCACCTGGCTAGTTCAGTTTGCAGAAGAGGAGGCTGAGGGGAGACCTCATCACAGTTTGCAACTTCCTTATGAGGGGAAGAGGAGAGACAGGTACCCATCTCTTCTCTCAGAGTGACAAGTGACAGGGAATGCCATCCAGCTGTGTCAGGGGAGAATTAAGCTGGATATCAGGAAAAGGTTCTTCAGCCAGAGGGTGGCTGGGCACTGGATCAGGCTCCACAGGGAAGTGGTCACAACATCAAGAGTTCAAGAAGCATTTGGACATTGCTCGCATTCTTGGGGATGACACTACACAGGGCAAGAGTTGGACTTTGATGATCCTTATGAGTGCCTTCCCATTCAGGATATTCTGTGATTCTGTGAGTCCCTCTAATGTCTCTGGAAAGTTTTGCTTTGCTAAAGTATCGTGAAAATTGCCTTCCAAATGAAAACGACAACACTCAAGGAAACAAACATTTGCATTATTAAAGAAGTTTCTGACATCACCCATCATGTAAATGTGTAAATGAGTGGTTGCTTTAAGGAGAGAGGAAGGTTATTTGTCAGAAATGGAAGATTTTTCAATAAATGTTCTTGTTATCCACATTCATCAACCTTCTCATTTCCTAGCTGAGAGTCTTGTGTCACTTGCCTATATATTGACCAAAGAAAGAAATCCTAATGCGGAGAACATACCACAGCTGTGGTCTGTAGAGGAGGCAGGGCATGGCTTTACCTGAACAGGTACATAGGCTGAAGGAATGTTGGCCTGAGCCTTGGGTGCATACACACACCACAGTGTCACTGTGGGCAGCTGGCAGTAAGCAGGAAGACCAAGTGCCAAGACAAACACAAACCTTGCGTAGGAAAGTAGACAGCTGTCAGCTATTAGTAGAGCTGTGGAGGAAAATGTTAGCTCTTTAAGATTACACAAATACAGTAAGTGGATTTGGTAGAGTTGCATTTGTTTGGGCTCCTTCTGAGTCAGGAGTGCAGCTACAAGGCTCTGTGACCTTCCCTGTTAGGAACACCAACTCACAAGAGACCAAACATCTTCCTGCATCACTGCTCTCAAAAAACAGCATCATTTGGTGAGTGGCAGGGAGTGTCATGAATGTGAGGGACAGAAATGTCCTCAGCAGAGGCTTTAAAAGGAAGAGGCCAGCACATGGTCAAGAAGTGAGATAGACCCACTAGATATTTTGTTGTTTCAGTCATCTTCATGCCTTGATTCTGGGACATGTAACTAAGCATGAAGATGTCTTCGCTGCAGCTTCATGCTTAATGTCACTGCTTCCAAAGAATTCCATTTACCAAATTACTCCATCATTCTCCAAAGCAGAAATGCTGCTGCAGACTTTTTTTTGTCTACGTTATCTTAAATGAAATATTCTTTTCTGGTTTTGTGTTTTCCTTTTCTGTTTATTATTTATTCCCCTCAGCTGAGATATGAGTCATGGCAGAGAACTTGGTTGCATGTAAGTCACGCCTTCACATTTTCATTCATATCTGCAAGCAGTACAGATTACCTAAAAAATGTTGAATCAATCCAAAATACACACTTTGGCCCACAATTTAATTTTTATCTTTTATAATTTCAGATCTATGGATGTGCATTAATTTTCCTCAGGTTTCATTTAGTATCTTCTGTATTAAATTGAAATTGTCTTCTGTCAGTAAAGTATCTTAGTTACATATCTAAATTAAATTCTTGAGAGGAAGATTTGTGTGTATTTTTCTGTATATATGTCTATGTGTTTAAAATGTGAAATACCTGTGCTGGAATAAGAGTTATTTGATGACAGGCTGTTGTTTCTCTGAAGCCTTCGAGCTGAGCATTTTCCTGGCCACTGGACTGAGAGCACTTCTGGTTTTCTTGGATCTTTTCTGCACAGAAACACAGGAGACTTCTTAAGAAAAAATAAGGGAGAGCTCTTCTCTCTCTGTTCTCAAAAAGTGTGCTTCTATCTTCCCTTTTGAATTAAATATAAAGAAATACCTGTTGAGAGGACTGAATTATTTTCTGGATTTTCACTATAACTCATTAGTTTTGATTAGGTCATTAAAGAAGTTAAAAGAAAAAAAAAGAAGAGGGTTAAGCTGGCATAAACCTAAATCTTTGAGGGAGACAAATTTCAAGGTCAGTATCTGTGCATGCTGTGGTTCTGACCTGATGACCTAAGTAGTCATTCACAGTTTCTTCATTCACAGGAGTTTTGTAGCATCACTGCAGAGGAACTGGCATGAATAGAGGAGTACAGACACTGTGCATGCTTGGTGTACCCTCAGACTTTCAAAACCTGGTTGATTCCTACAGTCAAGATGTTGGCACAAAATCAGGTATTACTCCTGTACTTCAGGGGATCTCAAACCCAACAGCAAAACAAACAAGAAAATTACATTTCCAACAAGAAAAAAAAATTACATTTCCAACAGAAAGGTCTTAAGATCTTCTTTGTCCATAAAATGCAACAGTTTGTATTTTGCTTTCCCTATTGTCTTTAACAATAGCATACTAAGGAAAAAATTCCATATAACCAAGTAACTATTCAAAAATATTTTGACCCTTGATTCTACAAACCCTCATTATCGAGATCAAGCTAAAACCCTTGGAGGGATGAAGGCTACCCAGGTGATTGAGAGTTCATAGAGCTAGAAGTTAACCAAGAATATGGCCATATATTCTAAGAAGAAGCTGTGACAAGCAAAAGCCTGGCTATTTTCTTCCTTTGACATTTTTGCATTGTGTATCAAAAAAAGATAAATTATAAAGCCGGAAAAAACAAACAAAACAGTCAGTCATCTTAGTCATTTCAGAGCTCTTTGTATTGCAGTAGTTTGATTTGTACATTTGATATTAAACTGTCCAGGGATTTAAAAATAAGTCAGCAGAACCTAGCAGGTACCTAAATTGTTGTCCTACAGGCAGCCCCACATCAGATGCATTCAATTTCAGGAAAACTCTCGTTAGCAGGTTCCTATAGGGAGTAAAAAGTGTATCCCTCTTTCTCCTGTTATTCCCTCTGTCAGATTTCCAGGTGAAATGTCCAGCAGCTGTGGAGGTTCGCTGTGACCTCTCTCCCGATCCCCTCCCTGCAGCTGCAGAGGGCTTTGCTCACCTCTCCTGCCGGCTCTGCTCCTCCGCGCTCTCCACGGCGCACCCAGGCAGCTCTGCAGGGACTGCAGCTGGGTCAGGGTCTCCTTCAAAGGAAAGCGAGTCACAAACTGCTCCAAACTGGAAGCCTCCTGATAGTCCTAAGGATTAAATGAAAAAAAAAAAAACAACAACAAAAAGTCAGGCTTTGCTTGCTAAGTTAGAAATACACGAGGGAAGGTTCAGACTTCATTCAGGAGGGAAGCAAGCGGGTTGGATGTTTCCATGTTTATAAATGTAAACCACACAAACAACCTTTGCTGATGGACAAAATGCCCTCTGAATTTCCAGGTGTAGGCACAGCTCCCACTCAAACTGAGAGGCTCAAGTACACAGTGACACAACACAGTTTCTACTCAAAAGACCCATTTCTTTAAATCCTTAACTCCAGTTGATGGCAGCACCACATTACTTCTGAAATGTGGAAAAGCCAAAGACTGACAGCTGCAGAACTGAATTTAAAGTTTTAATTTAGATCCATTCTTGTGAAAAGATGTTTCTCAAGCCCACTGGCCTGTCTCAGACATTGATTATGGGAATAGTCTTTGAGCAGAGCACATGCTTAAGATACTCCCCTGAAAAATCCCACCAGCAGTTGGCTGAAGGGCTGTGTGAGAGAGGTTGCCTTCTCAATTTAACACTCTTTGACTGATTTTTGTTCCTTTCATTTGTTTAACTACTTTTGAAACCATAAATCTGTATATTTCACAATTTCAAAAAATGTATCTAAATGTAATTTAAACTAGAGTTTGGTTATTACAAAAGTTTGCACCTATGCTTAGCAATTTGTAGTGGTTCTTTGAATAATGACATTTCCAATTTATTGTATGTATAAAAAAATATTTATGCTTTTTTTTTTTTTTGCAGATCATTTCAGAAATCAGTTTTTATGCCTGTTGTCTCCCTGGCTCAATAAATCATATTTCCATGGCTGGGGTCAAATTTGATGTTTCTGGCAAGCCCAAATCTGCAAAAACATCCTGTTCCCTTCCAACCATGCCCATTATGTGATTCTGTGGTTTGGCAGTTCTGCAGTAATATGTAGGTAATGCTTTGTGAGGGGGCCACCTTTACAATAATATCAACACCCTCTTTATTTTTTTTCTCATTAATAAATGTAACAGAGAGGATAGAAGAGACTCCTAGAGCCTCTACTTACTGTGTTGAGGTCACATCAGGAACAGAGATAGGAAATAGATTTACATCTCTTATGCTCTGAATGAATTTGTTGGCTCCTCACTCAGCTGATCTTGAAAACCTTTGGGCACAATTTCATCTAAAACAGTTTCATAAAATATGAGAAATTTCCTTAGTCACCACATCTGAAGAGAGATGCTGGTCCCCCACCTCCAAGCTTTAAAGAAGACCTGTCACTTCAATGGTGTGGCCTCCTGCACTATCTGAGAACCCATTTGAGTATTTTTGATATTCTTAAGGTATTCCGTGTTCTTTCCAATGTGAATTACAGCTGAAATGCCTTTCTGTTTTTTAGGCTTCTCTTAAAATTTTTCCATGTATGTGTTTGCAATCAGAACACAAATAGAAGATGTTTAGAAATTTGAATGTAAAATGAAAGATTGTCAGATAATAGCTTTAAAAGCATTTTGCTCTCAAATGAGAGCAATCTTTCCACAATATCTGTTAGTAAGTTAGTTCTTGTTGGAATACTTCTGCTGCAGAAATCTCAGGTGTTAAACCACCCATGAATTATCAGAAGTTACTTATGTTGCCAGAAGCTTCACAGTCTTCTACATTTACTTATTCTGTCTTCAGACTAATCAGCCGTGGGTCACTTTCCAACAAATTACTTTTCATTGATACAATTTTAAAATAGATGCTCATGAGAGATTGTCAGTCTACCTGAAGGACTCACACCAGTCTATAAATATGTTTATGGCAACCTTTCTATGATTAATCTTTTTGTGCAATAGGAAAGCTGTTATTTTATTCTTCTTCTAAACTGTGTCCGTTGTAATTGATTTAAAACTTCAGTGAACCTGAGAGATCATTTCATTTCCAAAAATTTTGATTTTCTGGCATGTTAGAACAACATGTGTGAATCTGTGCAGCATGGACAGATAACTGAAACCTTTCAGTGGAAATCCAAGGTATACTTTCATTTGTTTTTCAGCTTTTGCCGTTGCTTTTGGAAATAAGTGAAGAAATCATCCTGGAACTGACTGTTTCTTGTAAGTTTTTGAATTGTGTTTTAAAATTCTGGACATTCAGAAAGTAAATGTTTCAAATATGTCGATATTGCTTCCTGGTGATACTCATGGTAAATCTGATACAGGCATGTGAATTACAACCTAAATGCAACATCAGTATTGTTTCATTTTGCAAACAGTTCAGGTGGGCTCTCACAGATATGGGGATCATATAAACATTAGCTGTGTAATACTTGCTGCTGTCTGAGGCTTCTGCTTTTTAACTCCTTGAGAAAAAAATTACCCAGAAAAGTTTTCCTGCATCTTAAAGTAAGTAAGATTTTTTTTTTTTCATTAGAACTACTCCAAGTTTGTGCAGTGCACTGGGATTTTGTGGCTGCAGCTCTCTTCACAGAGAGCAGCAGGCACAATTTTGCCATAGGATTTCTCCTAGAGAAGGCAGTGAGAAGCTCAGAGAAGAAGAGAAAACCATTATTATCTCTACTTGCTGCTCCTGTTTTTTTGCACATGTGGAATGTGTTATGGAGATTGTTTACCCAAAGTGATTTGGTTATTGGACACTGCTGAAGGCTGTTTTGATTCCTTGGCCAATTGGGTCAAAGCTGTGTCCTGGCTGTCTGCAGAGAGTCAGGTTTTTCTTTAATATCTTTTTAGTATAATATCTGCAGTATTTTAGTATAGTATTCCTTAGTATAGTATCTCTGTGTATGTAATTTAGTACAGTATTAGTGTAATTTAGTATCGCTTAATAAAGCAATTGTTCAGCCTTCTGATTCATGGAGCCAGAGCACATTATTCCCCAACTGGGGGATTGCCTGTTTCTACTATAGGATTTAGTTTTTTTTCTTTATATTCCTGTCCCATAACTTCTATATTTAAGGCTTCCCTATGAAAAAGGTCCTTGTGGTCTTTAGATATGTCTTATCAGATTTACAGGGCTATTTTTGAAGATGGGAAAGGTAGGCAGGATGCTAACATCATTGTCAGCCTAGAATTATCAAAGACCCTCTCCTTACCCAAATATTAGTGCTTACAACTATTTTATGTGGAATTACTTAACTCTCTTAATGCACATATTTGAGCAAATAATTACAAATTATTTACTGTTTTCTTTGAAGTATTTATGAGTCATGAAGTTCTGAGAATTCTGAGCTCACAGCAATGTTGGGCAGCTTCAACTCCTGCCCAGTGAAAAATAGCTACTACCTGTCTTTCTAAAGTTCTTCAAAGATCACAGAAGAAGGTATTCAGGATATATAAATTATCTGAATAATTGTAATTTAAGTCATGGAGGGTAAAAGATTGTCCATTACAATTCAATTTAAACCTCAAGTCCAGCTCTCAGCACTGAAGAATTAGTAGCTGTGCTTTGGAATAATTTCACCACTCTACTTCCTTTGAAAATTACCTTATTTTGTGTTTTACTAGAGGCACACTGGTACAACATTTTTGTATCAATTTATTAAGTTTATCTTAAGGTAAAATCAGCTCAACTGGCATGCCCAGCATTTTTGCTGCCAGTGCATCGTGCCACCAATCAGTAATGGGACACCATGGTTGGTGTCTGAACATAAATCAGGAAAATGTCCCATTTCTTGAATTTCATTAGCTGTAAGTTACTGTTCATTAGCATACACATTACACTGCACCACAGTCTGGGCAGTCCAGATGAAATAAGTCTGTGTTAACATATTGTTCTGCTTGTTAGTTTTACTGAGTGTGAATGAATGAGGGTAATTTTCCACATTTTCCTCATCAAGAGGCAACTGTGACCTTTGCAAGCAGCAAAGATTTGTTTAATGAAACTGAAAATGCACATAATTAGTGATTTTACTGTGGAAAAGGTGACTGTGATCTTTAAAAGTGTCTAAAGGCCATCTTGAAGAGTGCAGAAGAGGTTCTCCTTTTGCAAAGGCAGAGGAGGCAGGGTTTAGGAATCTCCTAGTGCAGTTCCCATGTCAGGGTTACCAAGGTTCAGCAACTCTTGATCCTCTCAGTCTTTGGTGCCAGCCTCACCCCTCTCCCCTTGACCCTGCTGCTCCATTATCGCAAGAGCATCTCCTTGAGATGGAGTGGGACATTTCTTACTGATATATTGCTTAGCAATTTTCTGTTTCCTATCTATATGTCATATTAAACATAATTTCCAAAAATATTTATGCTTATCTTTACAGAAAATACCCTCAAGTCAACTCAAAAGCAGTTATCACTGAGTAGAACTCAGTAAGAAATAATCTATTTAAATTTCCCTTTATCTTGGAATGTCTCCTGCCCTGCTATATTTAGATCCCAAATTAGAGGGGCAATGCCCTGGGTTACAACTTTAAATTGAGGATATAAAATTAGTCAGAATAACTTCACTAAAATGAAATCACTAAGATCTCATTCTTCAGACTTGATTTCTTCAGGAAGAAATCAAAAGAGCATCAGGATAAAATAATAATTTTCACTAGAAGTCATTATTGAGAGATGCTCAATGTATTGATGTCACACAAATGTAACTTTTACAGCATCCTCACTGTAAAAGTGATCAAAGGCAAGATGTGCCCAATTATTAGATTCAACTTTGAATATGACACAAGTTTTACAAGTTTATTCAAATATTATATTTAGCATAAATTGTGTGTTTAAATTCTTTGGAACAGTGACTATTTCTACCAACCATCTGCAGTGCTGACATAGTAGCAATGAAATTAAATAGGCAGCCATGGCTGATTAGAAAGAAGATTGTCACACATTTGTAAGAGCACCTCTCAGAACACTCTATCACTCTGCTGGGATTGCTGAAGGAGTAATGCACTGTTGTTGCAATAATAGGGGGTACAAAATCCATGCATGGATAAAAAGTAACTCCTATTTAAGTGCTATTAGGTGCATCAGGTAGCTTAGAGATGAGAAACTGTTTTGGCTGTGGTTGATATTAGCAGGTGGCA